ACGGTATGGAAGATGTGACTGCTGCAGCCACAAAAATCCACCTTCGCCCGTGTAGGCCAAAATCCTTGCACCGGCCCAGGCCATGCGCCCCGCCAATCTCTGCGAACTTTCACTCGGCGTGAATAGAGGCAAATGCAATGCAATGTAATACTGCGATATGACCACCAGATGGAGCCGAGGAGCGCAGGAAAGACCTACATGTCCTCAGCGCCATCTAGTGGCCACAATGGGGTATTACATCTGACCGCTAAAGATCACATGGTCTCTATGTGCACAGAACGAATGTTCGGAGAATCGTGGGGCGAGCGGCTCAGCAATGCGTTTATACACAGACCCCCAAAGTGTCTCCACTGCCCCAAAGAGGAGAGAACATGTCTGTCCCCCGAGTGCTGACTGCAGGTTTCCCCCTTTGTTACAACAAACTTTATACACACAATTCTTTGGGACAGGGGCGGGCAGCCTCGGCACTCCAGCTGCTGTGGAACTACGAGTCCCATGAGGCATTGCAACACTGACACCCAGATAAAGCATGCAGCCAGTGAAGTTAGAACCGGGTATCTCCACCTATTCCAGGGCGGGGGAATGACGAGACAGCCAGGTAAGCAGCATTTCCAGCAGTACAGAGCAATGGCCGCCTCCTCTTATATATACGTACAGCGGGGGGACCTGCATGATGTCTCCCGTGAATGTCTCCAGCACCTTCTCCAGCTCCTCTCTGGTGATGTGATCTGCGGGGGAAGGGGGAAACAAAACATTCGTGAACCATAAAAATACGGATTTCCCCCCATTATTCCGTCTCCGGCAACTACTTCCTGTCTACATGACCCCAGCGATGGCTGCGTGACATTTCCCGATGGTGACAACAGGGGGCCGTGTCTGTGTAATGTGGAGCGGATACCTGTAGACTTCACCGGGAGCCCGCGTGACAACACAGGGGGACAATTGCGAGACAGGGACAGAGCGGTGTCATCCTACAACAGGAAGTGCCTGAACAAGGACAGAACGTTGTCACCTTATAACAGGAAGTGTCTGAACAAGCACAGAACGTTGTCACCCTATAACAGGAAGTGCCTGAACAAGGACAGAGCAGTGTCAACCATTAACAGGAAGTGCCTGAACAAGGACAGAGCGTTGTCATCCTATAACAGGAAGTGTCTGAACAAGGACAGAGCATTGTCACCCTATAACAGGAAGTGCCTGAACAAGCACAGAACGTTGTCACCCTATAACAGGAAGTGCCTGAACAAGGACAGAACGTGGTCACCTTATAACAGGAAGTGTCTGAACAAGCACAGAACGTTGTCACCCTATAACAGGAAGTGTCTGAACAAGGACCTCCACGGCAGGATCCCCGGGGATTATTATAATGAAGCCAATAATTCTCCAGCCATAGAGACCCGCCTCCCCCCCAGTCACCCTGCACTAGTAGAGAGAGCAGCAGTGAGCGGTCTGTATAACAGGAAGGGGCGGAGACAAGACCAGTCACCCTGCACAAAGAGACAACAGCAGTGAGCGGTCTTTATTACAGGAGGGGCGGAGACAAGACCAGTCACCCTGCACAAGGAGAGAGAGAGCAGCAGCGATCGGTCTTTATTACAGGAGGGGGCGGAGACAAGACCACTCACCCTGCACAAGGAGAGAGAGCGGCAGTGAGTGGTCTTTATTACAGGAGGGGGCGGAGACAAGACCAGTCACCCTGCACAAGGAGAGAGAGCGGCAGTGAGCGGTCTTTATTACAGGAGGGGGCGGAGACAAGACCAGTCACTCTGTACATGGAGAGAGAGCAGCAGTAAGCGGTCTTTATTACAGGAGGGGGCGGAGACAAGACCAGTCACCCTGCACAAGGTGAGAGAGCAGCAGTGACCGGTCTTTATTACAGGAAGTCTCACGCTGGAGTACTGCGCAGACCTGGAAGAACACAGGACTCTGGTATGAGGACAATGTCTGCGTCTGTCGTACTTTGGATTGATAAGTGCTGCCCGTACCATACGGCTTCTCTTCTATCACTTTCCCCGATGCGTCCAGAGTGTCAGTTCCCTTCCCCAGCTCACCGATTGCCGTGTATTTCTGTGCAGAGAGAAGAAACGAATGTATTGTCTTATAGTACAGAATGTAATGTAATGCTGCGTGTCAGCCACTAGATGGCGCCGAGGCGCATTGAACATAACTATTTATTTAATATGCTCCTCAGCGCCATCTAGTGGCCATAACTCAGTATTACATTGAGAGCCTGCGCACCCACGGCCGATCACTATACGTGCTCGTGTACCTGGAGAGCCTGCGCACCCACGGCCGATCACTATACGTGCTCGTGTACCTGGAGAGCCTGCGCACCCACGGCCGATCACTATACGTGCTCGTGTACCTGGAGAGCCTGCGCACCCACGGCCGATGCACTGCTGCCTGTGTCTCCGCCCCCCTCCCCATCAGTCACTGGTCTGTAGGCTGCTGCCTGCGTCTCCTCCCCCATCAGTCAACGGTCTACGGACACTACGAAGCTAACACAAGGCTCCTCCCACCTCTTACCTTGCTCCTCCCACCTCTTACCTTGCTCCTCCCACCTCTTACCTTGCTCCCCCCCAGCATGGTCCCCAACATCTTCGTCCCTTCTCCGATGCCGACCACTGCAAAAAGAGATCAGGAGAGAGTCAGGGCCGAGCGGAATCCACTCCCCCCCCCCCCCCCCCTGTATACACACAGCTTCCCCGGCCTATCAGAGCGTAAAGAGAACCTGTCTACAGAACCAAACACCAGGCTGCTGACCCCCTGAAAATGCCGGGCGCCTGGCTGCCACACTTCATGGGTCACTGACAGAGTCAGAACCGTCTGCAAACGTATTGGTCACTCGGAGAGTACCGAACCCAAAGGATCCACATGACAGCCAGGTGTCAGACCTTACATTCCCCTCACGGTAGGGCAGAATGGCCTCCGATGGAAGCTGCCGTCCTCTCTGCGGCTCCGCTGGCAATGAGGAATCACAGCTGCGGATCTAGTGTGTGACGGTGGGAGTCTGAGGAACGGCAGCTTCCATCCAAAGCTTTTCACACAGGTCTCATTCCAGAGGGGAAAGCATTTCTCTGCACACAGCCCACGTCCTGTCTGTAGCCCTGGTAGAGGGCAGCGCAGACAACTGTATACTCAACATGACCCCTCCCCCCCCC